ACAAGCACAAAATAAATCCTTTCTCTTTTTATTCCATGCCATGGATAGTTTGAGCTTGTCTTCTGTCAGGAGGTCTGCAGAAAGACTTTGTCTGTCTGCCAAAACTCTTGTTTAATATGCTCTTGCAAAGGCAGTTTTCACCTTTAGGTCCAATTCTTCATGGATCAGATGATCCACAACGTCGCCTGGGATTCCTAATAAAACAGTCCTCAAGAGTTCCATGGACACATAGGTGTTAAAGGCTGGTAACAACACCATAATTAAAAACAAATTAACAGGAAATCTGAAATTGCTTTAAGAAATGTTCCTGTCTTGTGTAACATCTCATAAATCTCAAATTACCTTTGAAACTTGGCTTCTTATTTCAGAATAGCTACAAGATCAACACACTTCTACAAAGTAGTTAAAACTTATAAAATTTACTTCTAAGGCCAGAGGATGTCTTTGACAGTTTTCATGGCACTGGAACTTATTTTAAAACTTACTTCAGAGAAAAGAAACAGCACAGAGAAGCTGTACTGGAGATTAGTAGCTGCAGTTGCATTAGTAATGAATATTTCCCCTGCAACAACTGTTGCTTCCTGTTGAACTGAAAATAAATGAACTCTTTTAGCCAAAGCATTCTTCTTGTCACAGAAAGAGTTATGTATCTTGCAGCCTCATTTAACCACATGTTTATAATAACACTTAGGTACTGAATGAAAATGAAAATATCTTCAGAAAGTGTGAGTTGAACCTCCCATGATGTTAGAAAAGGCTATGTTTAAAGGTTTAACCTATTCCTTATTTTATTATTATTATTATTTTGTAAAGCTGATCCGGGGGACCTATATAGGATTTTGATTCCATACAGAACATGAAATTTACTTCAAAATCATTTAGAAAACTATAGATGTATTCTGATGAAATCATGAGTATCATCAATTCAAAAGACAATTACAGAATTTGGTTTTGCAAGAAAGCACAGATTATCAAAAGCTGAAATTCATTGTGTCAAGATGGCTATGATTTCTTTAGAAGTCTGATGCTATTGGATGTTTCGTTAAGAGCTCAAATCTTGTGGAAAAAAATATGTGATGATCTCAACTTTTATTTTGTTTAAAATCAAAAAAATTGTCCAACCCATCACTGGTAGCAGAGAAAAGCTTGAAAATGTTTCCCAAGCATATTCTAGAAATTCCAGATCTGCAGGCAAATAAAAGAGCCAGTAGATAATAGATTTTGAAAATCCATGTCATTGTGAACTTGTCTTGCAGTGTTTTTCAGGTCTGACAATCCTGCTTCCTTCAAAAACGTCTATTCATTTGTATTGTCAGAGAACTTCAGAAAATATAGCCTGTCATTTTTTTGTCAATTTACCATTTTTTTATCACTGCTAGTCATGCAGCTTCTTTTATTACACTAGTTAGGCTGTACAGTTGCTCAGCAAGTTTTGGAACATTTATTTTCCCCTGCACACTTACATTTTTGCTAAATCAATGAAATGATTATCAATTGCATCAGGCAAATCCCAAGCTTGCAAGGAAGGAATTTGCTTCTGCTTTCTGCCAGGCTGCATTGACACAGTGCAATATTTTGCTGGCTGAGATACATACAAAAGGACAAAACAGCTCAACCTGCCTTCAGAGCACAGCACAGCAAGCAGCAGTGATGCTCAGTGGCAGCACAATAGGTGAGGCTGGGGCTGGATGAGCTCCTTCACCTACAACTGCCTCAGGTGGGAGCAAAAGCAGATGCACAAATACAGAGAATTTGGAGAACGCAATCGATACTTAAGAGCTGAATTTTGCCTTAGGTGGGTATATAGTCCAGAGGTGCCTCTTCTGGTAAGTATGTTCAACAGAGTATATGGCTGCCAAAATACAAGAGGAATTAAATTTGAGTTAGTCCTTCATTCTTTTGACATGTCCTGGAACTTGACATTCCCTGAAATGTCTTTTGAATGGGATACAATAACCTTTGCTTCATTAGAGTTGCTTTTTTTTTTTTTTTTTTTCCAAGTGCCAGCCTAGAAATCCATAGCAACTCAGAAAAGAGAAAACTGAAAACTATTTGAACAAAAACAGTGCAGGACACCAACAGATAAGGGACTGTTTTGTTCACGCTCTCAGTTCCTGTGATGTCCAGATGAGGCCACTATGGTTTTATTCTCCTGATTGCAGGAAAGGAATTTAGTTTGATTACTTCAGAGTTTCCCATCTCCACAACCAAAAGCGTTTTTCTGCGAGCCTGTTTTTCTGTTGGAGAACAAAGAAAAGGAAATGGCTATTTTTTTCCCCACACACAGTGGTTACGTTACTTTCAGAGGCAGGAAGGGAACTGGACAATGGAAGCTGCAGATGTGGAACTATTTTTTAAAATCCCCACTGCTGCTGTTGCCTCACAGGCAGAAGAAGTAAGGCAATGCAGGAACAGGAGATGCTGGACCAAAGCAAATGTTTTTATTTTATAAAGGCACAGCCTCTGATATTCCCTGCCACAGGCTGGCAAAGCTTTCCAACCTGCACCAGGCCATAGCAAAGGCTGTTTCAAATAGACAGTGTAGTGCAGAGCCAGGAAAAGGCAGTGACTGCTTTGGCTGAGTCGGCTGTTAGGAAATCTAGATTTCTGCAGGGAGAGTCTAGGCTGGGCCCTGCCAAGGCTCCAGGCAGTGAATGCAGTGGAGGCACTCTCATCCAAAAATAGCTGACTGGACATGTGGGACTGTGACTACAGGCCAGCCATGCAGGATGGCAGCAGATTGTTCCTTCCAGCTTTATTATCCCAAGAAAGGAAACATGTTACTGCATACAAGCCCCCTGAAACCCTTTTTTTCTTCCTTTCGCCTATGCCACAGCTGACAGGAATTGCCTGTTCAAATCTGAAAATTGGCATGTTTCTAACAACAGTTGGGCAGATAGCTCAGAGTCAGGGCTCATGAGGGACTCCCATGTTTGCACGTTGGCTTACTTGAGCTGCAGAGCCATGTTTTAGGCTTCATTTTCTGCCATGCTGTTTAAAGCACAAGGGTGGCCTGTGGCTCTGTCTACCACACCACTTCAGGCAGCATGTTTGGGTGATGATTAACATGAGCACTGAGTCAGAGTTGTGGCTGTGATGGGATGTAATACAATGTTTGTTTGTAAACTGACAAATATTGGCAGAAGAAACTTGTGAGGGAGGAATCCGTGGCTGCCATGCAGGCTGACAGCACGCTCTGACCAAACAGCAACTGTCCTCAGCCCTTTGCAGTCTATTATGGGGAATGCAGTATTTCACCTCCCACCTCTTAAAGGACCAGTTGTCCTTAGACCATGCAGCCCTGTTAAGGTGCATGCTCTAACTGTGCTTGTCATCATGGTCCTGGCTGTTCTCCAGGCACATGGATGGATGTCCCCTGTATCCCTCCTCTTCTCAGGCAGAGGCGGTGCTATGGGGGACCTAAAACTGAACAGGAATTCAACAGTGTTCAGCAGCAGGAAAAGCCTGAGGGGACTGATTCCAAAAAGGCTGCCACAAGGCCAGGACTCCCAACAGCATATTTGTGTGTAGTCTTTTAGCATGTGATCTGTTGCAGGGCTTTAAGGAGAGGTCCTCTGGAGTGGGGTGGTGGGGAATACATACACCACCAGATCTGCCAGGAAGCAGCAAAGCATCTTTGTCATCACTGGAGGAGAAAAACACTGAAAGTTATGTCCTGTTTACCAGAATTTTCACCTAGTTTACACGGTGCCTGAAGTCTTTGGATATCCTCTTTAGGGTCCCTTTGAGTTTGAACTCACTACAGGTTCCTGTAGCAATACAATTTCCTTTCATCAGCAGAGCCAGCTTCAGCTGTTGTCGGGTATTATTATACTTCATTGCTTCCTTCCTCTCCCATCAGTCCCTCCGCCTGGACTTAAATGTCATGTATAGTTTGAGTTATTTGACTTATAGTCCCTGTGTACTCCAGGATATCTCAGAAATACGGAAAATTGACTAGGAAAAAGGGGACTTCAAGTGGCTACATTTTCTGCAGCACATAAGAACCAGACCCTCAAACTTCACTGAAAGATGTGCAGGACATTTAGGACAGGGCAATCTGGGCAGAATTTTGGCAGAAAAGTTCAAAGTTGCCTGCATGGGAAGATGCTCTTTTCTCAGGGAAAGACCCCAAGTCACTGCTGAAACAGGGACTGCATTATATTAGCTTGAACCTTATATTGCACAATGTGACTGCTCACACTTGGCAACGTGGGTAGTGAATGATCATCCAAGTGGGCGCAGATACCACTGGAAAATGTCACTGCTGCAGTGAAAGTGGTGCCCTTTCTGCAAAGAAAGAGGCCTATCCTCATTACAGAGATGATATATAAGGTAAAATATTGTTACAAGGGGTAACTTTTTTCCAAACAAAACAGAAAACAAGAACTTGCAGGAAAGTTCTTTACCTGTATTCTTGCAGAATACAAAGTTTTCTGGTTGATTGGTAATTATTTCAGTGAAATGAGGAACATTAAAATAAAATTGAATTTTAAAAAACTGAAATGATGGCTTTTTTGTTTGCTTGTTTTCTCCAATAGTTTTCTTGTTTGTTTTTTGAAGTCACTCTTGTTAATTGTCCTGCAGCCATGGTATGTACTGGATAGCCAAGAAAGCTGACATGGGGAAGTTATATACAGCATCCTTGTGACCTTTTTGCAGTGAAGATACATATCTGTCCAATAAAGCCCAGGCCAAATGACAGTGACAGCTGCCTCATGGCATTCAGTTTGAATTGAACAGGTTTGCTCACAAGTCTGGAGCAAGTATTTCATTACAGACTGTGCACCAAGAACAACATAAGCCCCCAAAAGTGAAACTTTCCCTCAGCAACTATGGAAAATGCCCCGGTGGACTGAGATGCACTTCACAGGCTCCTCCTTATCTCCTTGCTTTGACTTTCCCGAAAGCTGTCAACCTCTGGTGGTATTTGCGTGTTGGTGTAGCACTTGCAGGAGAAGAAAATCTCCCTTCATCTATCAGGAGCGATCCAGGGTGTCATGGGAACCAAGCACTCAAAGAACGAGGGACGAAGAAGCATGCTTTTCCTGCGGAAAAGTTCAAAGTTGCCTGCATGGGAAGATGCTCTTCTCTCAGGGAAAGACCCCAAGTCACTGCTGAAACGGGGACTGCATTATATTAGCTTGAGCCTTATAATGAAAGGGATGACCAGTGCCCCTGACTTCTTGTGGGGACTGCCTGAGGTGCAGAAACTGAACCTTTCACGTAACCAACTGGTGGCGATTTCTCCTTCACTGGGAAAATTAGACCGACTCGTAGTGCTGAACCTGGGTGGCAATCGCCTCAAGTGCCTGCCAAAGGAGATTGGACTACTGAGGAATCTGAAGGTTTTGTTTGTTAACATGAACTGCCTGACAGAAGTGCCAGCAGAGCTCAGCTTGTGCAGGAAGCTGGAAGTTTTGAGCCTCTCACACAATTGCATCTCACAACTGCCTTCAAGCTTCACTGACCTGACAAGTTTAAAGAAACTGAACCTCAGTAACAATCGCTTTGTGCAGATCCCCCTCTGCATTTTCGCACTGAGGAGCTTAGACTTCTTGCACCTGGGGTCCAACAGGCTTGAAAACATTGCAGAGAGCGTCCAGTATCTAGTCAATTTGCAAATCTTCATCATAGAGAATAATAACATACGCACTCTGCCGCGGTCTCTCTGCTTCATCACAGCTCTGGAGCTGCTAAATGTAGATAACAATTCCATACAGACTCTTCCTGATGACCTCTATCTGCTGCACAGGCTGCCCCGGATTGCATGGAACCCAATGGACAAAGGCCTCCACATCTCCCACAACCCTCTGTCTCGGCCCCTGCCTGAGATCATTGAGGGGGGACTGGATGTTCTCTTCAACTATCTAAAGGAGAAGAAGGAACACAACTAAGTTTCTGCCGGACTTGGGATTAAGCCTGTCATCACGACTCACTTGTGCCAGAGTACTTTCCTCAACAGTCACTTCCACTTCGTAACATTTGGATTTCCAAGACTGTGGATGGCTTTAGTAATGGCTGGCAGAAAGCAAGTAAAGTGTGATAGTCCTGATTAAGTGAGTGAAGAGAAAAATTTTCTAAAACTATCCACTCCTGTAGTCTTCAGAGTTGGAGTGTTTGGGCTTTTCTGTAGAGGAAGAAAACATGCAAACAAATGGTGATAAAATGTTTGCTCTTCTTTTGACAGAAACAAACTAAGGCAGATGGCTAGAAGTTTAGATATCCATATTTGCCAAATATTAGGTTGGAGAAATATTAATATAATTTGGATTTGCTATATGTGATTGAAGTTGCACTTTAACTCCTGCTCATTTCTTCATGGGCAGGTAGGACTGCATAAACAAACACTGCTACCTAAGTGAATCTCAAGGAAAATGTTTAATTCGCTTTCAGCGGTGTATTTATCCTGAGCTATATTAGCCCAAAGACAGTATATCACTGGCCAGTTCAATATTACTTGTTGTTTACCCTGCAGCTGTGAGCTGGCTGCTATAAATTGCATGTGAAGATGGCAGTAGTGGAGAGATTCTCCAGCTCTTTGGAAGAAGACTCCAAGTATAGCACCTAGTCCCATTCCTGATACATGTGTCTTTTCCCACGGAGCCTACTTGGGTATCAGTAGAAGTATATCAGGATCAGCCAAGGGGAGAAATGGAAGTGGGACCTTATTCCCTTAAACAGAGGCTGCCAGATGAAGCTGGTCATTTTGAGATGGACTGCACTTGTTTCCCTTTTGCACTTTCCTGTATTTGGATCCATGGAATGACTTGACTCAGGAAGCAGTATGTCTCCTAAGGGTGAAGTATTTCTTTCAAGAAAACCAGCAGCAAACTAATCATCAGCTTAAGTAAGAGCTTCAAAAACAAATGCTTATTTCTGTGATTTTCAGTATCAGCCAGTAGCAAAGAAGTCAGGTCTTATGTGATTTCTTATATTGATCTCTGTGTGTCCTTCATCAAAGTTTTATCTAGTAATAAAGAGGCAGTATGAAAGAACTGTTATCAATTTATGCAACTTGATTTTTTTCTCACCCCAGAGAAGACAGAAGCAACTCTGTCGAAATCAGTTGAGATAAATGCTTCTAATAGCAGCATAAAAAAGGAATGAGCCTGTAATTCTTGAGCTAATTAAGAATATCCAAAGCCACTTTTAAAGTGCTTCCTATTGTATGTCAAATCTCAGGAATCAATGATTAGTTTTTAAAATGTAATTTGCTCAGAATTATGGAAGACTGTAGAAGGTTGATCCTTCTTCTAGTGAGGCTAATGAACAACTGTGGACTGAGGGAAAAACCCTTCCATCAGCAATGGTAGAAGTAGTCTGCTAAGAGCAGACAGTCATATAATTCATAGGAGCATGCAAGTAAATGCAGCACCTTTGGCCATGCTAACATCATCAGTGCAGTGTCGAACATAGCACTGAAGAATCTATGCTCACAGACTCTTTCACTGTAGGGCTGCTCAGTTTGTTATTTTGTTGTGTTGTTTTGTGTATCATTTCTTATCTTAATAGAGAATTTCAGTGCTGTGCTCAGCAACTGCAGTGTCTAGCAAAAAAGAAACATTTTCTAAGGGCACTTTTGCTGGAGCATAAGGCAAACAAAGTAAATAAACAAACACCAAAATGCAGTTATTTGTGTCTTTAATTTAATGTTTTAAATGTTATTTTTAATCCTCCTTTGCATGCATTTGCTTCATTCATGCAGTGGGATTTATAGCAAGTTCCAAGATTTTTAATGCACAATACATTGAATAAATTAATATGTGATTCAATTAGCGACAAGAAATAACCCTGCAATTATTTATAGAAATACCAACAGATAATTCTTGGAGGAGATTAGACACAGATTATTAACTTCTCTAAATGCCCATTTCATATCCCTAAGTCTTGCATGCACGTAAACATTCTACTCCCTCAGCAGCACTTCGCAGGAAAATTAAATGCCTATGGCATTAATCACCTGAGAAGGCTTTCCACACATCAGCATCCAGGATTATGTGACACCAGATAGCCTCTGATATGTTCTGACTAGAAGAGGTATGCTTCATAATTTACATGGGAGATGTGAGCCTGAACTCAGTGTGTTCATTAGGACACTACTACTGACGGTGAGCAGCAGTGCATGATTGAAGAAAATGGTCTCCCGACAGGGGATTAAAAGGCAAATTTGACAGAATCAAATGCATCTGGAAAAGCAGTTATAATATGAAGTGCAATAGCAATAATTTAAAATTCAATTATTCAATTGAATAATAATAACCTTTTACTCAAGCTAATAAACCTTTGCAGGGATACGAAACACATAAAAGTCTCTGCCTTTTTAAACAGAATAATAAAATTCATTGAATAAATGGTACTTTAATGTATAATTCAGATTTTGCCACTAAAAAGATAATTTCTACTGAACTGCTTTAGTCTTCCTTTCATTTCTGCATTAAGACCTTTGTAAATAGGTTTCTTAGAGATACAGAAAATGAACTCACATGAGCAAAGGTAGTATTCTGAATCCTTACTAAAGTAGGAAAGACTGTATATCACTGTTAATCTATTGAAGCGTGCATAGGGGTCAAATAAATGCGTATGTGTTTGCATCTGAGAGGGTGTAAGGGGCACAGGAGGGAGGCAGAAATCATGATGTCACATGCTGGCTCTCATTTTGAATAGGGCATTAGCAAAGAATTGGTGGATCTCAGCAGTGCCATCTGACACCAGTTGTACAGACTACAGGGGGGATAAAAAGAAGCTGCAGTGACTGCAGACACGTCTCATATGGAAACTATCATTTCTATGTGTATATTAAATGATATAACTTTGATGTAAACCCTTTCAGGGAACTATATGGTGAACATTGCACTTGTTTCAGTACTCACTGAAGTTTTCTCACCATGTAGATCTCCTAGCAGTATAACTTTTTGTGCATTTATTATTCTTGTTGTTACTGATAGTGGTGATCTTCAAAGGAATGGGGAAAGCAGGATAAACTCATGGAAAAGAATGTTCTTAGGGCAGCATGACTGTTCTATGGCTACTGCTCAGACAAGCTTGCATAAAGCTGAAGGGTAGAAAAATTCTAGGTATGGATGAAACAAAGGGCAAAGCACAAGAACTAAATGTCTGGAAATCATGTAGTATGCAATGGGGCTATACAATACTGATACTAATAAACATACTGATGGCATGTTTGGTGAGGTGAACAGCTTTGATGTATTTTTATCTTAAATCAAAAGGAAAATTGCATTCTGTGAAAAGTCTAGTAAACATGCAAGACCTTCAAGAACTAGAAGGTTTCAGGATCTTGGCATAACCCTAAAGTTTGAACTTCAACCTTGAATTGAAATAAAAGCATTTTAATTTGAGATGTTGCTGTAATATCTCACTATAAATTAAAGCTGAAATGTGTTGTACTTATTTCTCTATAGCTACTGGCCAAACCTGCTACGTGGACAAACTTGCTCATGCCGTCTGTCAGAGAACCATAGAATCATTGAATTGTTTAAGTTGGAAGGGGCCATTAAAGGTCATCTAGTCCAACTCTCCTGAAATAAGCAGGGAAACCTATAGTTAGATCAGGTTGCTCAGAGCCTCTATCCAGCACAACCTTGAGTGTTTCCAGGGACAGGGAATCCCCTACATCTCTGGACAACCTGTTCCTGTCCTTCACTACCCTTACTGTGAAAAACTTTGTTATAGCCAATCTAGAACTTCCCCCTTTTAGTGTGAAACCATTTCCCTTTGTCCCATCACAACAGACCCTGCTAAAGAATCTGCACCCTTCTTTCTTACAGCCCTCTTCTGAAAGGATACTGGAAGGATCTAGTGACCTACCAGAGTGCACTGCAATGTCTCAGCAGCCCCCTGGGACATAACCAGGCACTAATCTAGCCAGGAGCAAAGCAGCAAGTCTACAAAGATCAGTCTTCAAGATGCACTCAGGTGGCACATCAAAACAAAATTTTTCAGGTTCCATCTGAAAACTTTTGAAATTCAGATTAAATATTATTACAATTTTGAATTTAAACTTTTTAATTTAAACACTTTAAACTACTATTATAATTTTGAATGAAAAATGTCCACTTTTTCCCCCCCAATTTGCCAAGACTTTTGCAAAATTTTTCTTTGTTTTCATCAAAATTTCCCATTTTTCTTGGTCAAACATCAGAACGGTCTCAAGGTATTTTTATAAAAAGGACATACATTCCAGAGCTTAAACATTTTAGAATGTGAATGAATTAATTTCCTGCTATTCCACTGTAACTTCAGGAAAACCCATATTTTGGTTATCTTTGGTTAATATTTTCAAGAACTTTGCAGTCATTTTTTAACTGAATGAGGATGCATCAAAAAATAACATATTGATCCTGGAGAGCTGGAGACATTCTTTACTTCACTGGACTATCACATTACTTGAAAAAATGTATCAACATATAATTATCAAAAGAAGAAAAATCACCCATAGTCCAGTTTATTTCCGTAACCAAATGAGGAAAGGACCAAAATAAGAAATGTCATCAGGCTTTCCAGTACAACCACATGAAAGACAAATAAAGAAATCAAAGAAAATAAACTGATCATCTAGTCAGTATTAATTCACAGAATTCCAAGGAATATTTTCCTGCTGAGCCTTTGGACAGCAGGTTTTCAGTAATTCAATGGGAGTTTCAGACTGCCTTGCAGAGTTACATTACATATAATTAACAGAAATAAAAATATGAAAAATAGTATTTAATAATATGTAAAATGTGCTTATTATTATGTAACATGTGCTTTCACAGTCCGCATGCATAGCACCTGAATTCCTGAAACAGTTACAGCTGAAGGAGAACTTGCACTGGCTGTGAAAGGTCCTACACATATATACAAGAATACGTATGTTTACCATTCTATGTACAGCAAA